GAGCTGTGTCCAAAATTTATGATTTGCGCGTTCCGAGATTGTAAACAGAAAGAAAAAGTGAGTCGGTAAGCAGCGCACCTGAAAAAGTTGTAAATTCATAAGCACTTGAATTGTTTCTACTTCGCACGCAGACGACAGAGATGCGAAGTCGCACCACTACTTATAATGGTGATAAATATTATCGCGTTACAGTATTGCTGTCATATTGCACTTGTGGCACTACACACACAAACTATAAGGGGTGTCATCTATACCGTTGACATTCTGAGCGCTCGTTAGAATAGTTACTGACAGTGTTCTGCAGCAATGTGTGCTCTATAAAGATGATACGTTTGAAAGAATGCTCCCTCGATTTTGTCTGTAAAGCTTTGTTGAAAAGCATAGCCCCAAATTTTTTTCATGTTAGGGGGGGGGAAGAGTGGGGCTGAACCATATTTTATCTACGTTCGCACATTTCTGTGTGTGCAACAAAAGTAAACAAAAGCCTGGCTACGCCAGTGCTTCGGTTTACGTTTCGAATGCAGCTCGTACTCACCACAAGTAGCGCGAGAAATGAAGAGAGAGTAGAGTGCATGCGTACGTGTGTGTGTGTGTGTGTGTGTGTGTGTGTGTGTGTGTGTGTGTGTGTGTGTGTGTGTGTGTGTGTGTGTGTGTGTGTGTGTGTGTGTGTGTGTGTGTGTGTGTGTGTGTGTGGTGTGTGTGTGTGTGTGTGTGTGTGTGTGTGTGTGTGTGTGTGAGAGAGAGAGAGAGAGAGAGCGTGCGTGTGTGTGTGTGTTTTGCACTGGTGCACTGCGGTAGCAGACGTTCCGCAATGCAGCGCCATTAAACCGTAGCCGAACCGACGCCTCGGAGCGCCGCCTTAGGGATGCCTGGCGTCGCGGATATCTTACGCCCTAAACGTATGGGCTGGACCGCGTGACATCATCACCCGCCTGCTTTTGCGCTTGAAGAACACGTTAGGCCTATAGCGGGAGCGACGGTGCACCCACAGCAAACCGGAGCGCGCGTGAGGTCAGACGGAGCTGTGAAACGAAAAGAAGACCGTAGCCAGCGGGAGCTAATTCATTTTCCTCTTCTACCATGCAACGCCACCACGGGTGGGTGCAGTAATGATGCAACACCCGGCGTAAAAGTCATTAAGGGCAATTAGTGAGGGGTGTTAGCAGCACGCGGTGGCTTCTCGTGTACGCAGGACTCCTGGGTGAAGTAACGCAACCTAATGCAGTGGGCGGCAAGGGTGCATTCACTCCTCGGCCTCAGCGTGGAAGATGGCGAACTCATCAGAGCACCCAGGATCCCACGGCGGCTTTCAGTCATGCAGACGGAAAAATGGAGGGGAAAAAAATCAGCCTTCACATTCCTCTGGGGCTAAGCAATAGTAGCAACGCTGAAGTGCACAAAGCGCACGAAAGTTGTGCAACAGGTCTCGTGTTTCACGTCTCTTCCTGGTGCGACTATTCACGCTTCTGTCCTCTGCATTTGTCATCTTCCTGGAAGCCATGATTGAGCGGGCACTAAAATTGATTACTGGTTTATAGTAGCCGGGAGGAGTGGTTGTAACGTGCCGACACAACGATGCCTGAGGACGCTGAATGCCTGTAGCAACCGGTCCACTTCTCGTAGAGACTGGCAGCGGAGTCTACCGGGCAATGTTGTTGACTCAGACCACCCGAGCAAATTGCTAATTTTAATTTCGCACACTAGACGCTGTTGTACAAGTGTTTGTTATAACACGCTTATATTCACGTTTTTACAAAGTCGCTTTACGGGGCTGCGCCTTAGTGTATGCTATTTTGCTTAATGGTTCCTGTCTTTGCGGAATATTAGTTGTATTTTCGGCTTATGCAACGTCAGCTCCAGTCAAATGTTGAAATGTACCCGATAAGAATGTGACATTTTCAGGCTCTATGCGGCTGCATGCTCGAACGATAACTTGCCTCTTTTCGTGCATGGCACCTAGCGGCGAAATAAATATGAACACCAGACAACTAAAGCTAGGCATGTATTACTGCTGACAGAACGTACACGACTGGACGCCTGCTGAAAGCATGAGTGAGGGAAGGCCCAACGCGCACCGTCGCTCACTCATTGTCGAGGTGCACGTGGGTGCGCACGCTGTATGCATAGTTTTCTCTGAAAAAAAAAAAAAAAAAGACGCTGCTGGGCGTGCGCAGGTTCCCCATCAGGGAGACCGCAGGTTCGTCACATCTCCCCCCCCCCTCCGTATTAACTCATTGTATTAGGCAGACTTCGTCGCCCCCCTCCCCCCGCCCTGTCAGGTGAATAGAGGGGCGGCACGTTCTCCTCCTGCCGGCCCCCCTCGTTCGCTCGCCGCTGTCGAGGTTTGTATCGTTACAGTGACGATGGAGCCTGCATTCTTAACGACGGCGTTCTACGTGCTAATTATGGTACCTTCCTTCAATTTAGGAGTAATAGTTCTAATAACACATTTGAATATAGGTATAACCTTATTCTGGTTCTGGTGCTCCGATTGTTTTCGTTGGTTCGTATAGGTAACATCAGTCAAAAAACACATTCCAGAAAGAGCAAATGGGCAATATGTGCGCACGATTCAATGTTACTTTTTCGTGCTTACTTCTAGTTCGGCGTTTTAGCGTCTTGTCACCGTGGCAAGCCTAATAACTATAACTGTTCGGTTCTTACGCCCCTTAAACGCGATATGTTTGAGGGACGCCTCCGAAAGTTTTGATCCCCTGGGGTTCTTTAACGGGTGCATAAATCTATATATTACAAGGGCCCGGGCACCTATCGAAATTCGGCCACCATGGCCGCGATTTTATCCCACGTCTTTCGGGACCGCAGTCGGGCACTATGACCAATAGACCACTGTGACGAGTACGTTGACGAGGTTGGTAGTCTGACCAGAAATAATGGAAGTGTTACTTGGAGACCTCGAGCGCTAATGTATTTCGTTCAGTGCTTTGCCTTTGGGCATACGATCACCTTCATTAGTAACTCACGTTACCATTAGAAGTTGGCAGCTTAACAATAATTTCAGACAGCATATTCATTATCTAGGAGCGGCGCTTACTTGTGCGCCAGGAATTCGTGAATGGGTAGCCGTGAAATAAACATGCATTAACAGCCATAAGGGTGAAGGCTCTCGCGGTACCGCGCTTAATTTTTAACTGTGTTTTTTTAACTGTGTTTTATATTTTAACTGTTTTTAACTGAGTTTTTAATCGTGGAACGTTTTTCACGTTAAATCTGACGGAAACCCTCGCAGGAATTAACACGATGTGCAATATCAGCACACTGTTGTTGTGCCAGTTTATTCCGTTTTTTTTTCCTTATATACGTCTTTCTTTTTCCATTACTGTCGTATTGTATTCGAATATTGAGCGCTTTCTGATCAAACAAGCGTGACGACTCCCGCGCTACCGAATATGCTATGCAGTGGGTCGTTAGAAAAAGGAAAAAAAAAAGAACGAGGTTGAGCGACAGCTGCATTGATTCGATATATGCTATAGAGCATGAACCTGAAACCACAAGGCTCATGGAAAGACAGCAAAAGAAGTATAGCCTCAATACACCAACTCTTTCTTTTTTTCTTCATTTGCTTCCTCCTCGTATTCTTCTTCTTTGTTACCGTATAAAGCCAATAGTTGTGGCAACCAAAAATTATGATGCAAGGCCCCCTCTTTTCTATCCACTGAGCACAGCTGCTTGTCGCTTGATAAATCATTAGAAATAGACAATTAATGAAGAAAGAGCAGTAAGAGATTACTCCACCATTACGGGGCACTTTCTTGAACGCTCTCCACATCCAGCCCTCCCACCACCATTTTTTCCCCCTTTATCTCCACTCCACACACACTTACGTCCGCTTCATTCAATTGTTCCGCGATCTCCCTTCCATTGCCAGGAAAGTCGTGGAAGTGAGTTAAGCACTTCATCGGCCTTATTTCTCTGTTGCAGCTTAGGAAGCGGTATACATTACTACACGTTTTTCAAAATTAACAACCTTGCTACAGGGAGTCGTTAGCAGTGCCATACCTGTATGCAAGCCGTACTGCGGCTTACGCAGTAGTGTGCTATCCAAAAGAGCCATATAAGCCTCGTCTCTCGGTGTTACTGACGTATCTGTATACCCTAAAAACTGTAAGTTGAAATAGTAGTTCTGTACTGCATCGCTGCGCGGGCAAGTCAAATCTTCTCACGATAAAAAGATTTCGCTGTTTTGTCATCTACTGGATTGTCACTGTACACACAGATTTAGGTTGTGCTCTATAAGCCGGGTCATTTAATACTTTCTTTTTTTCTATAAGCTTGCGTATTTGTTGAAACCTGAGAAAGCGTGTACGCCAAAATGAAGGGACAATATTCGTGATCGTTCAAAGACACCTTCGCCGTACATCTACCCTGGCACCGATGGCCTTAGAGATGAGTTCGCGTTTATCATTCTTTTTAAAAAGTAGCTCTCGTCAACACTCCCACTGACAAGGTGTCGCGCTGGAACAACAATTTTTGTCCATTTCACGAATGATCTTTATAAATACTGCAGCCGTTCTCACTTACTTTTGCTCTGCTTTATTAGCGTACTTATCGGTTCTATGCATTTACGAAATGGGCAGTATTCTTCGTGCTTAGCGAGCGTAACTAAGCGAGAATTTATGTCTGAGTGCTTAGTTTGATAAAATAAATATTCACGACTGTGTGTTAACAGCTATATCATAACTTTTTATGTATCCTAACTTGCTCGGTGCATGTTGAATATTTTAATCATTGATTGTTCGAGCTAATATTTCTTGCCTGCTCCAATAGCTCGTATATATATATATATATATATATATATATATATATATATATATTTGACATTTTTGTTACTTCGGAATTTTCACCTCCTAATACGTGAGCCCATTTATGTACTCATGAAAACGACATGACACTTGAACTTGAAATTGCAGGATACGCGCCGGAAGGAGCGTTGTCTTCGGTGACATTCTGCCAAAACCTACTACTACGACTGTTATGTAGGGATGGCAGTGCTACTCTTAGCCATAGCTATGCTCCTAGCTGATGGCACTTTCGGAGAAACCAAAGAAAAGAAAAACTACATGCCTGATGCAAACATATGCTGTGAGTTGGTTTCTTTCTTAGGGAATTTTGTTGTTGCCATCGCGAAGACAACACAACTCGCGTTCGGATACGTGTACAAACATTTTTGTTTACATATTTTGTGCGCGAACCGTCTGCAATTACTAGGACGTTATTGTGATTGGAGCTGCAGTTTTCGTCGGTATAAGAACGATTTCTATCAATGGTGTCAGTTACTTAACCATGGTGAAAAACTGATGTCGTTGAGTTTATGGCTACGCTGTAAACATTCGGTATATACGTTGAACGTATGAGTTGCTGTTTGACGTTCCTCGGTTAATGATTTATTTTGCTTCACTGTACTCTGACTCTGTGATACGTTAAGCACTTAGTCAACATCATCTAACCAAGCTTATGTAGGCTACAAAGATACCCATAAAAAAACTGCTAAGATAACGCGAATATCAACATGATCTCCGCCCTTCATGAGAAATAAAAATATTGTTGGGTAGGGCTGAAACGACAACTGATAATTGGCGCATTATCTTGACTTCTATCTATAAACAGATGCGTTTAGCTACAATACAAAATCGAAATATGAATAAAATGTCTATGTACAAGCTTGTGTTCAACAAAACTAAGCATGCACGAACCAGATGAGCACTAGACTGCTCATTACAACAGTTTGGCGATAACGATTGTTTATCGAGTAACTACAGTAATTCGGCGTTTTTATTTCAGCTTACGAAGAATCTGAGATCGCAAGAATTTCTAGCTGTTACTTCAGCCACTTACCATCAGAGGTGAGTATACTCACAAGGCACCAGTTTGGTGAAAGGGAGATGCCGTATTTACTCGCATAATTGGAGCACTTTTTTTTTTCGCGTTTTTGGGGTTCCGAGAAGGGGGTGCGCAAATTACGCGGGGATTTCGCGAGCACATACGAAATAGTGTGTCACAGTCCTAACGCGCGCAGTGTATAGATTTTAAAAAAAAGAAGAAATGAATTAGAGCACGAACGAAGCGTTCTTGTTAATCTTGAAGGAATTGGCGCGTACTTTAACCAGTCAGATCCGGTCACGCGCGGTCTAGCGGGAATCACTGATCGCGAAGTCTGATTCGGAATTGTCGTCGGGGCCACTGCCACCGCCCTCCCGAAGCGCATTGTCCTTGGTTCCGTCGAGCGCACCGTTTTCTTGAAGCTCTTCCGAAAATTTTGGGAGGCACTACGACACGGCGATATCGTAAGAACTCGGCATGCGCACATAATTGAAAAGACCTCCTTCAATGACAGGAAACATGCATTAGCAACCGCGCACACTTCCGCTTTCTCGCGCCGGTCGTCACGCTGAAGTACGTTCCCCTTGAAGTGCTTTGCGGCGGCACGCTTCTTGTTTTCTTCGGCGAAATTTACAACAGCGGGCTTCGATTTCGCTGCCTATCAAATTACTGTAGCACATTGCAAGGGAACCGTCAAAGCACATCGGCCGGATGGCGAAGCCTAAACTTCCGAAATCGACCAAGCGTGCGCTCGAGCGCGGACGCAGAGACCGAGGGGAACAGTTGGCGCAACAGGCCTTCACGCGCCTCCGATGCAGGAAGTCGTCCGTGCCATGACACGAGCGTGCATTCCTCCCATTATCACTGGGCTAGAAATTGGGAGATGGGAAGAGACAAACGCCCGAGCAGTTCCGGCGACCCGTCTACAGGTTTGTGTTCGGGTGCGGTTTTATAGGGACCCTATAGTTCGGGGGAAGTCCTCGGAAAAAGAGACTTTGTACTAGCAGCCTGCTAGGCGGCACTCGTCTTCTCGGCGAGACGCGAACCAGGCCGAAGCATCGAAATGTCCAAAGGTGCGCGCGCCGGCGAGTTGGCTCGGGCGGGTCAGGGAGCGTGAAATATGCGAGGGCGCAAATTATGCGCGTAAATACGGTATGTATAGACGAATCAAGACGCGTTCACGCCGCCACTAATTGCTACTACCAGGTCATTAACAGTATTTCACGCATTCCTTGAACAACATACAATCAATACATTGGGCCTGCTCTCTGCCTTCGGGCCTGAACTATGAGGTACGAAAGAAACTCTGAAACTATAGGACAATGACAGCGCACTCAGTTTTCTAATGCTGAGTTGGATGGAAGTATGTACGTTGATGTCTATACTTACGAGTTGCATGCTATACAGCGTGTATTGCGAATGCTATTAGGCAAATAATATGCTTCTTCCATAGCACGCTTAAACAGCGCACTCAGTCGCACCCGTGCTAGCAGGCACTCGGACAAATCGCGTACATGGGATGACTCTACATACCCGAAAACACACCCTGTGCTGAGCACGTTTGAGTTCCAGTACTTTAGGAGCCCCAGCTGTCGTATGCTGTTATCGCTTGGTGTAACGCAGCCAAAACTACGCATACTATAGTCATCTGTGCCATACTAAGCGCACGCCGGCGTCGAGGAGAAGCCTTCTTTTTTTTCGAGAACTTTGATGATGATATCACAGAACACCTAATGATATTAAGTGCGGAGAACTTTAAGAGCCCGGGTTGTCGTGTGCTCGGTCGTACGCTTTCGTCGCTCGGCGAATAACACAGGCAATACCATGTCTAAAAACAGATGAAAAGAGGAAGCAAGCAACCAACACAAATATAGAGAGAAAGAAAGATAAAACTAAGAAGAAAAGAGAAATGAAGAGAGGAAAAGACCTAGAAGAGTAGAAAAGAAACCACGAAATAAACCGAACACTGAAAACAAAACAAACAAGGCTGCCCAGCTCCTCACTTTCGTCGGACTCGTCACCACTATAGCACATAACTGCCCTTAATGTTTTTTTTTCTGCTGTCATTTCATAAGTCAATCGATACAACAGCGCCCACAACTTGAAGATGTATATTATAATGTCAGTCCCCAGCAGCTGCGAAGCAACTGACCACGGCGGCGGTCAGATCTGCAACGCAGCAGAGGGTGCTAAGAATCTCTGGATCCGGACAGGCCGCCATTGGACCCTGAACTTGGCAACGTTTAATGCTAGAACCTTATCTAGTGAGGGATCCTTATCTAGCTGTACTATTCGAGGAGCTAGAGGGTGTTAAATGGGATATAATAGGGCTCAGTGAGGTTAGGAGGACAGATGAGGCCTATACGGTGCTACAGAATGGGCACGTCCTTTGCTACAGGGGCTTGGCAGACAGAAGAGAACTGGGAGTGGGGTTCCTAATTCACAGAAACATAGCTGGCAACATAGAGGAATACTATAGCATTAATGAAAGGGTGGTAGGTATCGTAATTAAACTGAATAAAAGATACAAGATGAAGGTAGTACAGGCTTACGCGCCTACATCCAGCCATGATGACGCTTCAGTTGAAAGCTTCTATGAAGACGTGGAATCGGCAATGAGTAAGGTAAAAACACAGTATACTATAGTGATGGGCGACTTTAATGCAAAGGTAGGAAAGAAGCAGGCTGGAGACCAGGCAGTAGGAGATTATGGCATCTGCACTAGAAACGCCAGAGGAGAGCTACTAGTAGAATTCGCAGAACGCAATAATTTACGGATTTTGAATACCTTCTACCGAAAACGAGAAAACCGCAAGTGGACATGGAGGAGCCCTAATGGCGAAAATAAGAACGAAATAGACTTTATAATGAGTGCACACCCTGGAATCGTGCAGGATGTGGAATTGATTGGCAAGGTACGATGCAGTGACCATAGAATGGTACGGTCTCGAATTCGCCTAGACTTGAGGAAGGAACGACAGAAACTGATACGCGAGAAGCCAATCAATCAGCTAGCACTGAGAGGGAAAGTACAAGAATTCAGAGTGTTGCTGCAGAACAGGTACTCGGTTCTTAGTGAGGAAACCAACCTTAGCGTAGATACAATGAATGATAATCTGACGAGTATCACTACGGAGTGTGCAGTGGAAGTTGGAGGCAGGGTAGTTAGACAGGACACTGGCAAGCTTTCCCAGGAAACGAAGAACCTAATTAAGAAGCGTCAAATCATGAAAGTGTCAAGTACAACAGACAAAATAGAACTGGCAGAGCTATCGAAGTTGATTAATAGACGTAAGGTATGCGATGTAAGAAGGTATAACATGGAGAGAATTGAACACGCTCTGAAAAACGGAGGAAGTGTCAAAGCATTGAAGAGGAAACTTGGGATAGGCAAAAGTCGGATGTATGCACTAAGGGACAAAAAAGGCAAAATAACTACCAATATGGATAGGATAGTTAAAATAGCGGAGGAGTTTTACAGAGATCTGTACAGTAGCCGAGACAACCACGACCTTAATACTATAAGAACTAGCAGTAACCCAGATTACACCCCACCAGTAATGATAGAAGAAGTCAGAAAAGCTTTGGAGAGCATGCAAAGGGGCAAAGCTGCTGGTGAGGATCAGGTAACATCAGATCTGCTGAAAGATGGAGGACAGATTGTGTTAGAAAAACTAGCCACCCTGTTTACGAGTTGTCTGCTGACAGGAAGAGTACCAGAGTCTTGGAAGAACGCTAACGTCATCTTGATACATAAGAAAGGAGATGACAAGGACTTGAAGAATTACAGGCCGATCAGCTTGCTCTCTGTAGTATACAAGCTATTTACAAAGGTAATTGCTAACAGAGTAAAGAAAACATTAGAATTCAATCAACCAAAGGAACAAGCAGGATTTCGAACAGGCTACTCAACAATTGACCACATTCATACTATCAATCAGGTAATAGAGAAATGCTCAGAGTATAACCAACCCCTATACATAGCCTTCATAGATTACGAGAAGGCGTTTGATTCAGTAGAAATATCAGCCGTCATGCAAACACTGCGGAATCAGGGCGTAGATGAAGTATATATAAACATTCTGGAAGAAATCTACAGGGGATCAACTGCTACCATAGTGTTTCATAAAGAAAGCAACAGAATACCAATCAAGAAGGGTGTAAGGCAGGGGGACACAATTTCCCCGATGCTATTTACCGCGTGCTTACAGGAGGTTTTCAGAAGCCTAGAATGGGAACAGTTAGGGATAAGAGTCAATGGAGAATACCTTAGTAACCTACGCTTCGCCGATGACATTGCATTGCTGAGTAAGTCGGGGGACGAATTGCAACTCATGATTACGGAGTTAGACAAGGAGAGCAGAAAGGTGGGTCTTAAAATTAATCTGCAGAAAACGAAAGTAATGTACAACAACCTCGGCAAGGAGCAGCGCTTCGAGATAGGTAATAGTGCACTTGAAGTTGTAAAAGACTATGTCTACTTAGGGCAGGTAATAACCGCAGAGCCGAACCACGAGATTGAAGTAACTAGAAGAATAAGAATGGGGTGGAGCACATTCGGCAAGCACTCTCAAATTATGACAGGTAGATTGCCACTATCCCTCAAGAGGAAGGTATATAACAGCTGTATCTTGCCGGTACTTAGCTACGGAGCAGAAACCTGGAGACTTACAAAGAGGGTTCAGCTTAAATTGAGGTCGACGCAGCGAGCAATGGAAAGAAAAATGGTAGGTGTAACTTTAAGAGACAAGAAGAGAGCAGAGTGGATTAGGGAACGAACGGGGGTTAAGGATATCATAGCTGAAATCAAGAAGAAGAAATGGACATGGGCAGGGCATGTAGCGCGTAGACAGGATAACCGCTGGTCATTAAGGGTAACTGACTGGATTCCCAGAGAAGGGAAGCGGGTTAGGGGAAGACAGAAGGTTAGGTGGGCAGATGAGATTAAGAAGTTTGCGGGTATAAATTGGCAGCAGCAAGCACAGGACCGGGTTAACTGGCGGAACATGGGAGAGGCCTTTGTCCTGCAGTGGACGTAGTCAGGCTGATGATGATGATGATGATGATGATGATGATGATTATAATGTCCCGTGCAGCGCAACAAATTGTTAAACGTAAAGCGAAACATCGCGCGTAACAGAACAATGCAAGTATGATCACGGAAGCTAAGATGTCACAGTGAAAATCGTGTGCCTGTAGTAGCATTTCTATGAATGAATGAGAAGGAAAACAAAATACGCAAACAGGCGCCGATCTTAAATGGTGTCGTTAAAAACGAAATGAAGATGCTCATATTTTTATAGCATGTCTATTAGTAGAGAGGTAGGGTGCTCCTAAGACTGAAATTTCTCTAAAACGACTAGTCATATAGTCCACTTGCTTATGCAGACGTGTTCCTTTAAGTAGTGATCTTTGCACGCGTAAAAAAAAACATAAGCTTACATTCCTCGCTTGGTACATTTTGTGTACATTAGGGCGAGATTACAGAGAAAATGAAAACATCAAGGAGATTGCAGTAGAAGCAGGAGGAGCAGCACGAATACAAACTGCTCGAGCAAGCACGTGGTCGGTGTACTTTCATTTTGTTTGGGGAAAGGAAAAGAAGATTTACGAAATACGCATAGCCAAATTTTGAAGGCATTAAGGTATGCGTATTGCCCCGCCACGGTGGTCTAGTGGCTAAGGTACTCGGCTGCTGACCCGCAGGTCACGGGATCAAATCCCGGCTGTGGCGGCTGCATTTCCGATGGAGGCGGAAATGTTGTAGGCCCATGTACTCAGATTTGGGTGCACGTTAAAGAACCCCAGGTGGTCAAAATTTCCGGAGCCCTCCACTACGGCGTCTCTCATAATCAAATAGTGGTTTTGGGACGTTAAACCCCACAAATCAATCAATCAATCAGGTTTGCGTATTCATTAAGATTGCGTTGCACCAGGTTATTGCACTGTTCTTTTCTCTTTTTGGTAGAAAAGCAAGCGACGTCGCGAGTGTAAGATCTTTTGATCGCAAGTATAATTAAGAGCTGCGTTGCGCGTTTGGTATCAGCGAAACATTTTTATGAAGTTATTTTTATACGTATACGAACATTCGGGTGCAAAAACCAAGCCCTCCATATTGTTGCAACGTTATGTCCTAATGTTACTAGTCCCGTTAATAAGGGAGGCAATCACCGGACTAAATCGAAAGAGTGACGAATCGGCCCCCCGAACTGCCCCACGAAAGCACGGAAAATTTAGATTTGGTTCTTTTTGGTACGCCAGCAAACGCCGGCTGTGGTCCAAAGAACGAAGCAGAGCCAAGGGTTGATAACAAAACGAAAATATGTTTTCAAATACGGTCGAACAAACAACACACAAACATGCACACTCGGCACTAATCCAAAACAATACGTTACCAGTCACAAGATACTCCAAACAACAGGCTACAAAACACAACAAGATACACTCAAAACAACGGGCAAAAACAACACGCGCTGCAATGCAATGTTATGCACTAACCAAGACACCTATAGTCTAAAAAGTTCATCAATGCATTCAGTCCATAGTTCTTGGAACAAAGCTTGAGTGCTTCTCTTCAAGAAAACACTCACTCAAAATCTTTCGCCGGAGTAGTTCTGTTGCGCCCGAAGTTTCTCTTCCAGGAAACTCTCGCGTCGACTGATATTCACACTCCAATAACAAAACGTCTTCGCCGGAAACACGTCGGCCACTCATGCGCTGCGACTGCATAACACGCCTTCACTCACTGGCGGCAGACACACACTCATCTCCTGCTTGTAAGCCAGGTCTTCACCCCGTAGGTGAAAAACTCTCTTCATCTCCTCCTGTGGCTCTCTCCGCTGCTGGCTTATATACCTTCGCCCTGGGTTCTGGAACTTTCGTCGGCGCGCCGCACAGCCAAAGCCGGGGAAATGGCGAGACTTTTCTCGAAGTCTCCGCGACCCGTGACGCAACCAGGAGGAAAGTGACTCACGTCTTCTTTCTCGATGTTTCTGGAGTTCGCTCGGCGATGGATGCGAGGAGGTTGGTCAGCGTATTGGCGGCGCCTTCAAGGGAGGAGGAGGCGCGCGCGAGGCGTATCTTTGATGCTTGTTTCTTCTTTACGCCGGCTTTTGTCGCGTCTGCTCGGCGCCTCGAGTTCACGTAGCGGTAGGTTAGAATCCTGAGGCACGCGGTTTGCAGAGCACTCGTTTGTGAAACCTTATAATACATGTACTGATCGAATCAATAGTTATCGTGCGCCAGTTTTCATTGGCACCCAAGAAAAGTGAGAATTTTTTTCACTCTTTCTTGGGAGTTGTTACACTTGCCAAGTGTATAACTCTCTTGACACGCGGACTCTCTCAGAAGATCACTTTACTCTCTTTCGGAGTGTTACGAGACCCAAAAAAGCGTTCAGATGTCGTTTTAAAGAGGGTCATATGGTACATACAGCAAGTGAGAAGTCAATGAAAAAAGCAATGCGTATTCCTTTTTTTTTATAGCATAGGCGTCCTTTTCCCCAAGTCCAACGTCCTCTCAGTGGGAACACTCGAATCACCTGATGTCTTGAGGCTCGACTATCGCTGGTATCTCAGCGGGCTGGCAACACTAAATGAACTTTAGAAATAAAATCAAAAGGATTTATCAGCAGCAGCAGCCTGACTACGCCCACTGCTGGACAAATGCGCCTCGTATGTTCCGCCAGTCAACTCAGTCCTGTGCTTGCTGCTGCCGCTTTATACCCGCAAACTTCCTAACCTTATCTGCCCACATAACTTTCGGCTTTCCCCTCACCCGATCGTTATAGCAGATAATTTTGGCTAATAAGCAGCGCCTGAATGTATTCAAACGATTTTTTCACCGGCTACCTCCTCTCTTAGGGTAACTAGAAAGCCCCGCCGCGGTGGTCTAGTGGCTGAAGTACTCGGCTGCAGACCCGCAGGTCGCGGGTCGAATCCCGGCTGCGGCGGCTGCATTGTCGATGGAGGCGAAAATGCTGAAGCCCGTGTGCTCAGATTTGGGTGCACGTTAAAAAAACCCCAGGCGATCGAAATTTCCAGAGCCCTCCACTACGGCGTCTCTCATAATCATATGGTGGTTTTAGGACGTTAAACCTCACATATGAATCAATATCAGAGTAACTAGCAAACAAGGCCCGACCCGGTTAAGCTTCCCGACGTGTTTATTTCCTTGATGCCTTTAGTGCCACTGGATTCGTACTGAAGGTTGTATTGGTGTGACTTATCCCTGTCTCGGGAGTCATTTGTTGTCTGGAGAATATTTGTTTCCAACTAGTTACTGAAAAACAAGGCGAGCGCCTGCTTGGCGTCTGTGCTTGTGTTTGCGTGCTTCATCTTGTGAGTTATACATTAAGCTGTTACATTGCGTGATGAACCTGTTTGTTTTTTTTTTCTTTTATAACTATGCGCAGTTTTCCAAAGAAGTGGAGGAGTCCGTGACGTCACTATTCAACGGCATGAGCATTGTCCAGACTATCATGTTATTCTGCGAAATCAACAATGACGACGGCTACTCGATGGTTCGTCCACACTCAATATTCCACCTCCACAATATATGTCATCATCGGGAACGCATTAGTTTTTAAGACCAAAGTCTGAGATGCCTCATCTAACGCTAAAAGTGACTGTAAGTGTCGGTGGCGTCGACGCGAGCGATCAAATAAAATTACCGCAGGAAGTCGCCACCTATTGACATCATCGCGACGTTGCTATTAGGACACATCACGTAACGTCACGCGATAATGTCATAACATAACCGCGCCGCTTGGTCAACGGTTGGCTGATCACGGAGGCCCTGCGAAATCACGTGAGGTGCAGAAAGCTTTCAGTGCCACAGATCCCGGAGGCCGTGCAAAGCACATTGAGTGCAGAAAGATTTTTTAATCATAGAATCGTTGGAATCGATAGAACCGATTCAAAAGAAAAAGGTGGCTTTCGTTTTACAGTCGTCTTAGGCAAATGCATAAAAGACCGTGCAGCTTTTCGTTTTCTTTTCTTTTCTAATTGTTAAGGATATATTTATGTCTGGTGATCGAATTTGTCTAATGGTTTTCGCACCTCAACCGGGGGCACCTTGGGAAGTCCGAGACCTATGGACTCTCTTGTTTTTCCGTGCCTTGTTCTTCTCTCCTTCTTTTGACAAATAACAGCTTTTGTGTAGGTCTGTGCGAAACATGTGAAGTTACTATGCTTGCAATCTTTCCACTGCAAAAAACACACACGCACCATGACACGCCTAGCGTCATACGGTGGTCGACGTGGTGTTTGCATCGTAGCTTTGGACTGATTAAAGTCGATTGCAAATTTTCTACAGATTTACGTAACCTCAAGTTTAACATTTGATTAGGCTTGTGCGAATATTTAAATGCTTTGAATATTCGAACGAATAGCTGAGTGTTTGAATTCAATTCGATTCTAATTTAAATTATCCAATATTTTCGATGTATTCTCAACGAACCAATAGATGTATATTATTCTGCATGTCATTGCCTGTAAAGGTGGTTTCACTGCGCTGTAGAGCTGTTATGCAGATGCAGTGAAAACATTTACCTAAAAAAAATGCGTTTTGCCATGAAGCCCCCCTTCAAATTTAAAGGGGCCCTGCAACATTTATTGAACATGGTCAGAAAACGCTACCGGGAACACGCGAGGCAAATATTGTAGCGCAGCACGTGGCCTGTAATTCACAATAATTTTTCAAAGCTAAACATTGATTTCTTTCCTCGGCAAATGTCACTACAAGCTCAAAAATCACAAGAAGGAATAAACGGCTCTGGTCACAGGCATTGGCTGATTTGAGCATGGCGCGCTCGTCATTACCGGGGCTGCGCTTGTCCACGAGAACGTGCGTGATCGCACTGAAAAGCCGCGTATTCGAAGAAAAAAAAAAAAAACAGGTGCTCAAGGTCAGGATGTGCGCGTGAAATATTTTCTTTCGCCGTGCCATTCGTCCCTGCTTAGCTTCCACCTATTTTGTTGGGACGAGAAGAGAGAATAGAATTGCAGCGTGCAACACATTTTTGGAACTTCGTTTGTGCTGGACTGAGTAGAAACTTTGCGGCGGTAAATGTGTGAGGCAACGAGCATGTTTACTGGCCCCATATCTACTTGAAAAAGTGTTGCAGGACCCCTTTAAAGGAACATGTTACTCACAAATAAATTCTTCATTTTATTAGGCTTGTTATGACGGCTTTTATGATCCAAGTATAATCAATTTTAAAACACTAACTATCTTACTGGTTATCACTCGCGTCCTACCTAAAACACTACTCAAGGTTGTTTCGACTTCCTTTGAACAAAGAAAAAAAAAGACATTTGCATTTTAAGAACCCCTATTTCAATTTAAAAAATATTGTGCAGGTTAGTCAGGTCATGATAAATAGTCCTTTTTCATGTCATTCATACCATTTGAATTCAATTCGAAATTATTCGATTTAAATCACTATTCGCTTCAAACCAAAAATTCACTATTTGCACAAGCCTACATTTGATCCACAGACGAATTCTTCTTTTGTGTTTTCGGTGGGCCATGTTTAGCGTTTTGACCATGTTTAGCATTTTCACCATGTTACCTCTTGTGATGTTGGGTCCATTTTGTGTCCGAACAGGTTTTCTGCCTTCACGCGGAACTTTTCGGCCGACTTGCCAAAAAGTGCGGCAACCAGGCTTTTGAAAGTGGTGTACTGTGCCACCTTTTTTTTCTTTTTGATGTAAACATCTTTGCACTATTGTCTCGTTAATAGGAATTACAGCCTAAACACACTTCAAAGCGATTTCTGCCCTGCATCAATCACATTTGTTCATCGTAAATAGTGAAAAAAATAATGTAATTAATCTAAACTGTTGGTGCCATAATTATGAATTTAAGGTAAATAAAAAAAGAATGAAAAAACTCCGATCTCAAAACTATGAATGCCAATTTGGAGATTGTACCATCAAATCTGTAGGGAAATAAATCAAATATGCAATAAATATGCTTAAAGCAAGTTTTTATTGAGAGTTTCATATGAACGTAATTCAAGTTGTATTCAATTCTTAATGTTCATCTTACAGTGGCAGTGCTTTGTATTGAAACATTGGCAAATTATAAAGTTAGTTTGTGCTACAAACAATCATAGGACTGTTTCAGTGCATACGGTGAAAACTTAGCCTGCACGTACAGCAGCCTTGAACATAATGCACTTGAGTCGATCGATTATTTCATGACATTGTGCAACAGAAAGAGCAAATGTTAATCCACTCACAAGTACTTAATAGCTTTACCTTCCCTTTATAGATTAATGCATGGATCAAGGAACTACCTGTAAGTATCAAACATTTTTTTGACAAATTTTTACTGAGCTCAAGAAACAATGCTCTCCTATGATGATAGTTAAATTTCATTATCTTCGTTTTACCACAGACTTCATGCCTTCTATTGCAGCACTTTTAAATTAGAGATAAGGGCATCCACTCACAGTAATTTATTTTGCCAACATTTGTCCGTCAGTGAGAAACCATTTAGCTGATTCTGAAACTGTACACACTTTTAGTGATGGTGGCCAATAGATTAAAATGAGCGCTTACTAATAAAGGCCTATGTGAGTTCATTAGGTTTTCTATCTGAGTTAGCTTGTACGTACTTATCATGCTCAACGTGTAGCATTTACAAAAACAAGAATTGATGAACGAGCCCCAGGGCTTGTTCATTTATAAAAACGTCCACACATTAAAAAAACTCATTATAGAACCGCTCGCCAGCTAGTCCCAAGGCTGATTCTGTGATTGACGTCGGCGGCAGGCCAATGATGAAGGACACTTAATTAACCATGCACTTGGGAACAGCAGTTTTCCTGTATTAGAAAAAAATGCCTCTATTTACGAATGTGTCTAATGTTAAAAAGTTCGTAAGTAAATGTTTCAGCCAATCTTGATATTAAAGTTCCTCAACCAATTATCCAAGCCATCTGACCAATGACAAAATGCACTTGACAAAATGCACATACGAGAAGCTTCGTGAATTCCGCGCACATTTTCAGTGTTTTGCAATCACATAGTACGGAACTCTGCTTCCGGTATCAAAGTGTATGGCTGCTAATGAACAATATTAAATGCTGACGACTGTTTCGTTTCACCCTCGCTTGAATATTACAGCCGGAGAACCAGCAAGATGCTTACGACAGTGCCTGGCACTGCTTCACCAATCTCAAAGAGATCTTTATGAGCTGATACTCTAGGAGAGAGAAATCAAATGTGCCTAAAGCAGCTGCGACTTACTTCCGACGGTTATACATCAAAGGACCAGGCCTAGCATTTTGACTATTTGCTCCGAACAAAGAAAAACCTTCTGTGACAAAGTTCTTGCTTTCTATATTTTGCTGCATTGAAACTTTGTTTCTTCTCTACTCAACAGTGAAAGCATATAAAAAAGAGGTGTAAGAAATGCTCAGACACTGAAAGCCTTTCTTTGGGGTGTGACAAGAAGCTTAATGCACTATCTTTTTTTTTATTAAGTGTATGCAAGTACTATCTATTTAGAGCAAAAGCTGTTATGACATCACAACAGAGGTCGCGTGCACATTGTAGTTGTCCACCACTGCCGGTGTCCGTAACCACTATCGTCTCAATAAATAAAAAATCATTAGGGACACAATGGGAATCAAATTCAGGTCCCCTGCGTGCCAGCCCAGTATTCTATCACTGAGCTACGACGGTGCTTGGAACTCCTTTGCAAATTGGCCTTAGGCAGGCTTTGTGTCGGGAAAGGAATGGCGTTAATATGAGTAATAAAGCAGTTTAGAACAGGAAAGGAACATCCAGTTGTCAGATAATGCGAGTTGTGCAACAAGGGGGTTGTCAAATGCTCCAACCCATTACAAGAGCTTGATCTTGTTCACCTATTACTGCGGCGCATACCCACAGTGGAGGATTGTGGGTATTACAAAAGCTTCTGGCATAATTCTTCGTCTTCAGCCACCTCACAAAATATTGCACGAATTTCCTTGCAAGTGTGCAGCCGGTACCGAGCTTTTTTGAAGAATGACGAGAGCTGGCGTATGAATGCCTGCCTACTACGTAATGATTAATGCAGTAGTGGGTACCCTGCAAGTGCCCTTGCACCACCTACCCAAAGAGTGTCAAAAAAGGCTCTTAAAGGCCGCACTTCCAGCTTTTGCTGTGACAGTGCTGTGCGTTCTGCGCAGGCCTGGCAGATTTTTTTAATGGGCATTCAAGTTCTTCCATAAACTCAGACACATTACGTATATATGAATTGAATGTATGGTCGATGGTAACTGTTTTGTGATGATCCTTTCTTTTTAAGCGAATGATACAGTACTGCTATTTTTACAAACTAAATAATACAAAATACACATTATATAAAACAAATCTACAGTCCCTTAAGGCAATACTTAGGAGACCACAGCTGGGCCTCTATCCTCTCAGGTGATACCCATTGAATTACATTGAAGTTTTCGAACTGGTGGCCTGCTGTGCAATTGCAAAGAATATAAATTGGCATCCAACATTTTTTGTCAATTGCATTGCTACTTCCTGTTAGTTTTTGTCTCTTTCGATTGCCTCGACATCACCACTGCTGAGACTTGGTTACCGGTGTTAGTTCAAAGTTCCAATTTGATTTGCTTTAACTCACTTTGACATTTGATTCACAGTTGATTCATATTTTGCTTATGTACAGCCTTGAGCAGTATGAAGTGGAACACTGATGTTACCTTCCGAAGGCCATAGTGGCTAAACGCAGTTGGGAAGAGCGTCAGTGTTTATGGCACAATAGTAATGCTCAAACAGGAAGGTATCCCTAGCAACTCACTTTGTCACATTCATATTACTAAATTACAATTATTGCTGAGAAGCGATCTAGCTCATATTGATAATGATAGTTCCTACCTGAAGTATTTTACCTAACATCTGAATCACATTACACACCACCGATCAACTGTCACGTCTAATCACTTTGAATGTCATTACTGCATTAAGACCCCACTCCGAGAAGTGCATCGAGCAATGAGACAGGCGAATAGTCCAGTGCAGAACTCTCGATAGATAATGAGAATGTTTTCAAACATGTAGCAGCCACAGCAGCCTTTTGAAATACAATGTTCGATAAGAAAAAGCTCGTTTCACAGCTGCCAAAAGCTTTATGAAAACCATTGCCTATTATAGCCGCATCACATGACATGTTAAACTGTGAACTTCATTTTAGATCTCTTCGTCGGCAAGCTCCCAATCTGCACGTTAACACCAACGCGATGTCTTGTACGGGCAATGACGGGAAAGTCAGCAGACCCGACGTGCCATGGCAATCGATGTTATGCAAAGCTTGCAGAGAAAAAATGTCTGTTAAATAATTTTTTATCAAGAAAAATGTTACGAAATGATGATAAAGATATATACAAATGTGGTATGCAGACATACATTGAGCAGTTGCTCATGTTTTATATAACCAGCTATTTTCGGTTGCACAACGATGCCAACAGCAACACAAGCCAACACCAGAAGCGGTGGACTGACATGTAGTGTTTGTGTCTGCGAGGATACCTTAACGCAGACCAATTTCATTGGATGACACTTAAATACAATTGCTGTTAAGTGGCCCAACACCTGTATCATACTAATACATATGTATAGTTTATAAGATCAGATAACCAACGCTGCATCCACAATTGACACTTTACCAACATTACACCTGCATAGGGTCTTTTCTAAAGCAGTTCCGAGACCTATTGTGGATTTTTAGTAAACGCAGAACGCTATAGGGCTTGATTCCTGCTGTGACCCTGATAATTATTCATTGCATTCGTTGGGTCATTGCTGATGATGTCAGTTTTTTCTTGACACTCTTATATTTAAATTATACCTGGCTCTTCTTCCTGTTCCTGGGTTTATATCATCTGTCAATCAAATGTAGTGCATACTTGCATATGGCAGTTTGTAGTATACGGTTATGTGCCACACGTGTCCGGGTAAAGGGCTTGACGATGTACACGACGCAATTGTCACATTATTCAAGTCATGACAGGCCAGACATATTCGTCAAACCATCTTACCCTCCTATACTAATTTTGGTTTACCCCAAATTGCAGAAGTGATCACAAGAGCCCCCAAACACGGGCGGCTCTAGATTGATACGTAGATATAAAAGCTCAAAGTGCCTGTAGTACGCAAAGAAATGCTTCGCATTTAATAAAGACCCAACATGTTGCGACCTCACAATACCGAAAGCTATGAATTTTACATTCAAAAATAGAGGTTGTAATCAAAGAGTGCCTTTTATGCACCCCAATGCACAGTTGAGCTTGAGAAAACGAATGTACGCCTATATTCAGCTATTATATAGCTGAAATACTGTAGACATCAAATAGTATGAATCCTCATGCTGACGTAACCGCAGTACAGGGTCGCCGTTCTCGATATCAACTGGTCGCCATCTTCTGGGTCAAGCAATGCAGGAAGGAGATTCCGGTGCAAGAAGTCAGGCCGACACTTCCTGTTTGCTCTGGGGATCGATCGATAGATTATTATTTTTTTTTTTTGCAGATTTGCAGATTCAATCAAACACCATGTAGAAATTTAACCAAGTTATGGCAAATACGGTTCACGTTATAATTTCCACAAAGGAATGCCATTGTGTAGATGTTGACTCTCCAAAAATAAGCACTCTACAAATCTAAACATGATGAACATACAACTGTCTAGTTTCACTCAGTCATTTTTCTGTGCTCGTTCAAATGTGTGCATGTATAAAACAGACGTTTATGTTACCGATATGCAATGTCCACGGTTATGCCCTATTTATACCTATGGTGTGCCCCAAGTAACAGCAATACCTACCTATGCTGGGGTAGATGGGCATGTATGGCAGGCAAATATTTCTGTTAGACATGTTCATACGAGCTTATCACAGTTGGGAGACTGTGTCTTGAGCAGCTCCGTATCTCGAAGGAGAAGTGATGCAGTCGTAAAACCACCCCCCCAATTGCCGGAGGTAATCTTGGGCATACGATGTCTGTGAAACTCGAGCGTGTTAATACCTCTATATTGCATGCCATGGAGCAATGCACTTCTTTTTGTGTTGAGCTGGGGACATCACCAAACGAAATCATCTCCCTCACAAATATCACCATATAAGGTCACAACAGGCAGGTGGATCATCACGTATTAAAAAAATGGCTGCAGATACACAAAGCGAATGCTGGTGACGGGGCAAAGCTAGGTCTTAAGGTAGGGTAGCGAACCGATTATCCTTGACTGGCTGATTGCTCTACCTTTCTTTTTCTACCATTATCTCTCCCTCTCTGAAGTCGCCGACCAGTATACAGGACGCAATTGTTATACTTACACCTTTTCTGCCGCAAGCGCATCTAAAGCCGTGGACAGCACTGTGAACAACTGCATCTATGAGTGAGCTGCTGAATGAAACTGAAATATGACTTCCACGTATGGTCCACACCGTGTGAATATTAAGCGCAGTTCAAACGTGAATGTGCACAATGCCTTGATAATGCCCAAGTGCTGATGCAGTGGGTTTAGGCATGTCGACACAATTGGCACAGCAACCACATTGCCGCTGCTTATTCAATGGCACAATGGTTAACAAATCATGTGACATTTTATTTATTATATATTGCAAAATATAACAAATTCTTGAAGCAATGATGATGATTCTTAAATAGTGAAAGATGTGCTTAACATACGCACACTCATTTCTGTGCATATCGCAGTCTTGTGTGATCATACTGGTCAAATTGCAATGCCTGAGCACAAGATCACATTTTTCCTATGAAAAAAATAAAAAATTGAGCCTAGGCCTTCTTTCCTTGCTTGGCCCGTTTTTTCGGAGGTGTCCAGCGCAGGGAGGAGATGTCAACTTGAAGTCGTGGCTTCTTGTACTGGGCACTTTTCAGATGCTCCTCCACGAGTTTTGGTGTTACGCAGATCACGTGTTGACCTTTCCAGTACTTCACCATGTTGAGGCTTTGCAACGTGGTCACTATGTCATGCTGTGTTATGCTCGTCATTTGGCTGAAACGAGTTCACAGTGAGGTGGCTCAGCATACAAAAACTTACAGTTCAAAGATAAAAAGAAAGTCTGCACAGCACCTGTGGTTCACTAAAGCTGTCTGCCAAATATTTCACCAGCATGTTATCGGGTCCTGCTACAGTAGCAAGGCACAATTTCGCTTTTGAGCATGTGGTTTTGCATACCTTCAGAAATTTACATACAGCTTGTTTACAGTATCGATATATTATATTAAGGTGCATAGTTATACCACAATATA